GGGGAAGTCTATCCCCATGATTCAATCACCTCCCACCAGGCCCCTCCTGCAACATGTGGGAATTACAATTTGACGTGAGATTTGGGTGGGGACACAGAGCCAAACCGTATCAGAGGCAAAAGCTCCATCTTCTTTCCTCCCATATTTTGTCCACATTGCTATCATCTCTTTTGGTATAATTTGTTAAAATTATTTATTTACCTTGTTCATTCTGTTAGATCTCTCCTGTGTGTTAACCATTTTGGTATTCCAAGTGTCTTGCTGCATGTTTGACTTATAGTAGACTATTAGAATGCAAAGATAGCTAATAACAATTTAGGAGCTAAATAGTAATATTTTAGAAACATAACTAGAAAATTCTTAGGTGAGGAAGGAGAAATAAGCCTATTAAAAACATGAATACATGACAATTTTTCTTCATTTATTAAATGATTAAGCACATAAAATTTACATTGGCACCATATTCATGTTTGGGTTTAGTCAATAAAGGAATTAGTTTGGCTTCTATGATAATTTAAAAATAAACATACTATTTTAATGTAATTATAAGAGATAAGAAAAATCTTCAACACTGATCAGTGTGGCTTGCCCTTCAGCAACTTTATACTGTGCCACCTGACTGTCATTGAAGCCATGATGAATTATACCTATTGCATCAATATTGAGTCTCATTCATTACTTTCTTAGGTTTCATGCTTTATATCAAAAAGACAAATGCCAAGACAAATTCAAACTTTGGAAAAAAAGAGACTACAGGAAAACAGTGAAAAACTGTTTTCAAGAACTCTCAGTTCACATTCCATGTATGAGTATCGTTTATTTATTTATTGTTTAACGTATGTCATTTGGGAGATAAATACTCTAAGTGCCCTAACCAAAGCAATATGACTGTTCATGTAACAAAATTGCACTCCTACCCCATAAATGTATACAAATAATAAAATAAAACATTGTTTAATTGAGCAAAACCCTATTTATAAATTATTAACTTCCTAATATGTAGAAATTATAATTTGATTTGGCATAAATTCAACTTGTAATCTATAGGAAAGTCTAGAAGGAAAAGAGTTACTCATTGGAAGAGAATAATAGTTGTATTACATGTTTATATTTGTATTAGATATACATATTTATTGTATTTAATTAGGTAATATAAAATATGTGATTGTGCTATGGTGCCATATCAAATACAAACTTTTATTGGGAGAAATTAAAAGTATCTTCAGAATTTCAATAACTTCTAGTTTCTATCTATTTTTATTAAATACATAATAAAAATGCTTTAATATTGGCATAATACTACAAATAATTGTGCTTAATAATTTTACCAAGTGTTTTTCACATTTTTGTGAAAATTAATTTTGTCATAATTGATAATTTAGAATGTATACCTAGATGGTTTTTAATTTCAAAACTGAGTGCTATTTATATGTCACATATTATGCAGAATAGAAGCATATTATATCTGTGATATGTTGTGATACATTTATAATAATACCACTTATCATTAGTGAAAAAAGTATTCTAAGGGCCTCAACTCCTCACAAATTAAAATTTATATTCTGTGTACACACGAAATGTACTCTTAGCATTGAAAATTAGTTTGGTTATGTGTTTATATCTATATTATCCATAGATACATATTTTATAGTAGCAACAAAATTCAGAAAATGCAGGTAGGGGCCTACTTGAAAAATTTTAATACTAGCTTTTTTTAAATGAGTTAATAGTAATATTTGATTAAATACATAATTCATTTCTAGAGAAAATGTATATATAATCTATTTCAACCTCACAGAATTCTACTGAGGAAGGGTATTTTGACTGTACTTTTTTTGATGCAGAAAATATAACAAAGTTCTGCTAGATAGTATAACAATTCTGGAGCCAAGATAAAACTAAAATCCATGCTGCATATATTCTGCTCATGTACTCTATTCATCCCCACTATTTATTTCATTTTGATTTTGATAAAATTTGACATTAAAATGAAGCATCTATGAATTACTTCCTTTTATGGTTTCTCCATTCTGCTCTTGGAGAAGTAAGACTGAACTTGTGAAGCACAATTTCATCCCCTGGCCAATGTTTCCAACATGAGTGCTAGTAGACATGATGACTGAGGAAATAGAATCTGCATTGGGTAAGTTATAGGTCATCATAAAAACAAAAAGCTCACAGGACTCTTGCTTCTGAACTTAAGCAGGTTTTATCTTCTCTTGGACATGTAATTCTTTCCAACATCCACTTAATGAGTTAATAACTATCTGTTCACACATCAAACGTATTTGAAAACACATGTAAAATACGTACCAGTATCTGTGAACAAATTTGTTATATTTTCTCTAACGGTCTCTAATTTCCTGTCTGTTTCACACTAATTAAAACACAAGAATTGTATATGTTGAAGATGTGTTCTGTGCCCCTGTACTCCCTTCCTGACCAATGCCTGCTTCCCAACATGTCCTCAGGAGATGAAATTCTTGAGTGGCCAAGACCTCAGGCATCAGTTATCAGTACATGCTTTTACCTCTGAGTTGAAAAGCCTAGCATTTTCTCTGGCCGAGGATTTCACATGCTAGACACCATCATTTTATCATATGTCTCATGTCAACATTGGCTCAAATTATCCCTTCCACAGAAATCCTTGATTTTACTGATTGCCATAAAAGCAGAACAAAATGGAGAAAAAAAATAACTATTTCATTGCCCTAAAATTCTCTAATGCTTTGCTTAAAAATAAATAAACACAGACTCTGAAAATCTAGAATATGTGAACAAATTTATATATATGAATTCACTCTATATGAATTCATTTAAATATATATATTCATATATATGTACAGGAATGTATACGAGTTCATAAAAATATATATTCACTCATGAAAGTTTATATGTGTGTCTGTGTGTTTTATATATATATAATATCTCTAAGTATTATAAATATATCATATGTTTATGAATGTATACAAATTATTTACACTATATATTGATTAATGTATGTTTCTGTGTGTGTGTGTGTGTGTGTAGTGTGTGTGTGTAAACTCTCCAAGTATTAAAAATACAGCTATGATTTTGAATACTAAGGAGGTGTTATGGGGCCACTTCTATTCTGTTACATTTAAAAAAAAAGGATAATCAAGGGAGGAATATATTAAAAACTAAATAAAGGAACTGGGATAGGCTTCGTGTTGGATGATTTTGCCAAACATCATAAATGTATAGCTAAGATTTAGATATTCTGAGCTTAGAATAATTTTAAGTAAAATGTAATTCAATCTCCTCTTATTTTAAAGGTTTGAAAAAAAAATAAATTCACACAGCTCTTCAGTTTCAAAGACAGACACAGGCTCTCATCTTTGTATTCTGAGCTCATTCTATTGACATTCACTCAGTTCACTTTACTATAGTTCCTCTTTATAAAAGAAAAAAACAGCTTTGTAAAATTTTACTAATATTTAAAAATGATGTAATATAGGTAACCTACTATCATATCTTAGCCCAGTCTGTTATAAATGTGCTCACATACTTATATTAGTCCACAATTAGACAATATATAACACAAAGCCTATTTTATAGAAAAAAGTCTATATTATTATTTGTATAAATTTATGGGGTACAAGTGCAATTTTTTTAAAAGATCTCATAGCGATTTGGTTAGGGGATTTAGAGACATTATCTCTACATGTTTATGTGTGTGTATATACACATACACATATATGTGCATATACATATATATGTATGTGTGTGTATATGGATTGTTTTAATGGTATAATTAAAGTACAATTTTGTTGCATAACTAGATCTCATAGTGGTTTGGTTAGGGCATTTAGAGTTATTCTCTACATGTTTATGTGTGTGTGTGTATATATATATACACACACATATATACATGTGTTTATACATATATATGTGTGTGTGTATATATATACATACATATATACATATATATATATGGATAATTTTAATGGCACTAAAATGCCAATATTCTCTACAAAGTCTATCCCCAAAAAACAGGTGAAAACAGGTTAAATATATATTTAGTAAACGTAAAACTCTATACAATGCCATGTGATGTTAGAAACATTAAATCGATTTGTTCCATACTGTAAAACTTAATTTTCTTCATACAACTAACTTACCACTATAAAAATACAGACATTTCACAACATATGATGGGGTTACATCCATGTTAAGCTGAATATACATTTTGAAAATTAATTTAACACAGCAAACATACTGCACATCATATCTCAGCCCAGCCTATTTTAAGTGTGTTCAGACACTTATATTAGCCTACAATTGGACAAAATCTAACACAAAACCTATCTGATAAAAAAAAGAAGTCTTGAACATCTCACATAATTTGTTGAATACTGCTCCAAAAGTGAAGAACAAAATGGTTGTATGGGTACTTGATCTAGGATTTCTACTAAATGCATAGTGCTTTTGAACAACCATAAAGTCAAAAAATAGAAAGTTGAACCATTACAAGTTGGGGGACATCTGTATGTTAAAAATATATGTATGATTCCCATACTGCAAAAGCCTCTCTTAATATAAATGCGGTCTTTCTCATTTTAAAAGGTAGGCTTTTTTTTCCTGCAACTAAAAAGCACCAGGAACAAGTATTGTAACTATTTAAACAAACTATTGAAGACAGAAAAGTTCAATGGTCCATTTTGTATTTCCTATAATCTAAAGTGAAGAGGTATATTTGAGACTGTTATACAACTCTACTCTCAGATTAAGGGAAATAATTCATTGTTTTATTAAAAAATGATTTGCAGTACAAATGATCAGTTATGCGTCTGCATGACCTTGAACAAATTGTTTATTTATTCTTTAGTAAAATAATAGAATATTCTAAAATCCTTTCTCACATATTCTAGAAATGAAAATATATGGATTTTTCTTGATTGGTTATGTTCCTTTACTCCATCTACCAGTAAAAAAGAACACATATTCCCCACCTACTTATGAATGCAGTTCTCCCCTACCTTAGTAATGGTTTCATGAAGTTTGAAAAACGGATCCATTTCTTCAACTGTTGTTGATTGTGTAGAAAAAAGGGCCTCAGAGAGAAAACTTGGACCCTGTGGCAAATCCAAAAAGAAACATTTAAAACTCTTAAAGGATTTTGTTTTTCAAGTATTTATTGGATTTTCTTTAAAGATTAAAAAGGATTCTAAATTCCTTAAGGTTTCTGTTGATTGCTGGATTTCATTCTCCTGATCTAATTACACATCACAGAATATTTATAAATTAAAATCAGTAGATTTCTATAACTCTTAACATTACATGTATTTACCAAAAAAAAATATTTTCTTACAAAATAATTGACATTTTTTTTCAAATGCAGACTTATCTGTAGACATCTTGACCATAAAAACCCATTTCTGATATCCCTTCTCTACTTTATATATTGTATGTTTTACAAACTGGAGGAATGAAATGTTTTGATAAACATGATTACCTAGAAATGCCAAGACAGAGAGAGCATGATATTTTAGATACTGCCAAACTAACTTCAAAACAATAGTAATATAAATTTTTGGTAGAGCTGCCACATGGCTTCATATGTTGCCAATAAAGTTCATAGATTCTATCAACTCTAGTGTTCACATGGTTGAAATGTATCAGAGACACTTTAATTCATATTGTACTTTCAAATGAAGACAAGTTTCAGAATGAAAGAAGATATGGGATGCAGATAATGTTACTATCCAAAATGATATTGTTGGAGTTACCAATTTCATATCATCATGATATGAAATGATTATTGCTTACAATATAAATGTAGCTCTCTTTTTTTTGAAAACCTAAAGAAAACAGGTTATTTATGTAGAGCACAGAAGACTTGGGATACAATATATGTGTACAAATAGATAGATGACAGAGACAGATGATAGATACATAGGTGATAGATAGATAGATAGAATAGATGATAGATAAATGGGTATGTAGATAAGTAAATAGACAATTTTCTGAAGAGTTTCACAAGTAAGACCCATTTAACCCAATGTATGCCAACAATGATTGCAGTGAGGTAACAAGTTTATGCTGAATTTTTTAGAACCATTTATTATAGCAATCCAACAGCATTACAGAGTACTTAGGGATATATCAATAATGAGAGAGAAAGATAAAATGATGTCGTTTACAGACCTTGAAATTATACAGATAAAGATTTAAGCCAATGTCATTCCATTTCCCTATATGTGAAATAGTTCTGTGACAAGGTGACTATGAATCAACCAAGTGGCATATGTATTAAAACTTTTTTGTCACAAGTTTTGCGTTTCTTCCCTCATTTTGCCCACCAATATAAAACTAATTTATTAGAAACTCTGCCCAGTTCCAACCAGTATTTCACTTTGTATGACTCACTGAAAAAATTCATAAAACTTGGACTTTAAAATCTCATAAATGCCCTTTCTTAATTTCCCCATTTTGAGGATCTGGTAATACTCAGTGTCACAAGTTGAATTGTCTTCTTCAAAAAATTTGTTAGGTTATTGTCAAAAATACATATCATAATTAAGTACTAGGGGTTAGGACTTCAAAAATATGTTTAAATTCTAACCCCCAGTACTTCAGAATGTGACCTTATTCAGAAATAGGCCATTGCAGATATAACTAGTTGAGCTACAATAAGATCACACTGGAGTATCATGGGTCTCTAAACTAATGTGACTGGTGTCCTTGCAAAAAGGGGAGACAGACATACACACAGGGAGAACACCCATGGGAACCTAAAGTCAGAAATTCAGGTCTTATGTCTGCAAGGCAAAAACGCCAAAGACCGAGAGTAAACCACCAGAATCTAGTCAAGAGGCATGGGATAGATTCTCTCTCACAGCCCTTAGAAGGAACCCACTCTGACAAAACTTGGAAAAGTGAGACAACGAACAAATAAAGCAACCTCCTTGTTGTTTAAGTGACTCAGTTTGTGGTGCTTTGTTACAGAAGCCCTAACAAACTAATGCCCTCTGTCAAGGTGGTATTCTCTCTTCATACAAAGGCCTGCCAAACTTAATTTTGGTTACCAATAAGGATTTCCAGGGAGGTGTTTTAGGCAGTCAGCATAGACATAGGTTAAAATTTTAGTTTTACTACTAAACAATCTGAAGTATTTTTCTCTCTAAAGGAATAGTTACCTTATCTAAGAAATTTGGATAATAATATTTTCTTTAGTGTGGTGATATAAACAGTCCAATGCCTATCACATAGGAGACATTATGTTAATGGAATTTTAATGTTGATAAAAAATAAATAACACAGGCAGACAGATCATGAAATCAGGAGATCAAGACCATCCTGGACAACATGGTGAAACCCTGTCTCTCTTAATATACAAGAACACCCCCCAAAAAATTAATCAGGTGTGGTGGTGTATGCCTGTAGTCCCAGCTACTTGGGAGGGCTGAGGCAGGAGAATCACTTGAACATGGGAGCTGGAGGTTGCAGTGAGCCAAGATCGTGCCACTGCACTCCAGCCTGGGTGACAGACAGAGACTCCATCTCAAAAATAAATACATAAATAAATAAATATTATAATGATGGTGTGGCAGGGTAGGAATAATGGTAACTGATATGGTTTGGCTGTGTCCCCACCCAAATCTCATCTTGAATTGTAGCTCCCATAATCCCCACCTATTGTGGGAGGGACCTGGTGGAGATAATTGAATCATGGAGGCAGTTTCCCCCATCCTGTTCTCACGATAGTGAGTTAGTTCTCATGAGATCTGATGGTTTTATAAAGGGCTTCCTCCCTCACTGGGAACTCACACTTCTTCTCCTTGCTGCCATGTGAAGAAGGACATGTTCACTTTCCCTTCTGCCATGATTATAAGTTTGCTGGAGCTTCCCAAGCCATGCAGAACTGTGAGTCAATTAAACCGTTTTCATTTATAAATTACCCAGTCTGGTGCATGTCTTCACAGCAGCGTGAGAACAGACTAATACAGTACTATAAGCAACAAAGGCTTGTCAAGGATATCATACAGAAGGTGCCTGATTATTTTAGAATACTGAACGAAAGGAAATCCATAGTCCTATGAGAAACAGTAAGCAGTTTGCATTTAGTTATGTTTATTTTTTCAAATAGAGACAACTTGGAATCTACTTTAATGAGAGTTTGCCATGAACAATTTGCTGCATTCATTTTCATTTAATAATTAATATTTGAAATCCTTAAAAGTTTGCCTCATAAGTAGTTTCAAATAAACTTTCTAAGTAGTTTTGTCTGACTTGTTTATTAGGAGAAAGAAAACTTCATGAATAGTCCAGAGATAAAATAGCAAGCCTCAAACTGAAAGATCCCTTAAGGATATAAGTTAGGAGCCATAATTAACAATACTTCTATTGAACTTTCAATTATTCAGTGGCAGATCATATTAATTTAAATTATAAATATGTTCTTTATTCTCCAATGTGATCCCTTTCTTTCTTTTACTTCTTCACTTATCTCTTGACACAACATTCATTGTTTTTAGTGGTTCATTTATTTTATTATTTAAAGAATACTGGGTTAACACTGCTGTATGCCAGGTGCGGCACGACATGCAGGATGTGGTCCTTCATCTCACAGAGTTTAATCTAATGGGATTTGGACACATAAAAATCAAATATCACTTCCTTTCAAAATATTAAAACAACACACTCCTCTTTTTCATATACATGTGAATATAACAATTGTGTTTAATAAACAGGTACTTATATAGCCTAATGCAACAACTAAGAAAAATATTAAAAATAAGAACATGTGCTTTATGAAAGTCTTTCATTGCTATTATATTGACTATAAATCATGCCCGTTTAATAATATTTTAAATCTGTGGATGGAAAAATGAAAGTAAAGCAATATATAACAATTTAGAAAGTGCTTTTGTGAAGAAAAATTTATTGATATATCAAAATGAAGCAATTCTTAAGTCAAGATATGGAAACCTGAATACTGAATGTCTGCCACTGGAAGATCATAGCAAGAATATTACAGAGGAAAAGATATCAATAATTTTATCAAGGATATGGTTTAAAAATCAGTTTTGTCTTCCACAGTCCCTAACTTATTTGTCATTGGTGTAGATTTAACAATATTTAGCACACATTCGTCTTTCAACTCTTTTGCCTGAACTCCACAGTGTGACTTTCTTGGTGTTTCATTTGTATATTACTTTCTACCTGTAACTTTATTTTATTTTTGAATATTTATGTTGTTTCAAGGCATTCTACCCTCAATCTTCTCATTTTCTCAGGCTCTGTAGGTAGATTTACCTGCTTTTCTAGTTTCACCTATCAACTTCAGATTCATAGCACTCAAACCATTATCTCATCCTGATCCCTGTTTAGAGTTCATCATTTCCACTTATCTAGGGGACCCCTGAGACACATCCACTTGTTAAGTTCCATTCTTCTTTTATAGAATAAATATATTTTAAAAAATTGTAATCTGAATATTTGAATGCTTCTCTAAATATTTCATTAAGTTAAATGTTTACACACACACACATACACATACACATATATATTTTATTGTACTTTAGGTTCTTGGGCACATGTGCAGATCATGCATGATGGTTGCATAGGTACACACATGGCAATGTGATTTGCCCCCCCGCCACCTACATCTGGCATTTCTCTCCATGTTATCCCTCCCTGACCTCCTCACCCCCCTTGTCATCCCCCTACAGATCCTAGTGCTTGATGCTTCCCTCCCTGTGTCCATGTGTTCTCATTGTTCAACATCCGCCTATGAGTGAGAACATTCAGTGTTTGATTTTCTGTTCATGTGTCAGTTTGCTGAGAATGATGGTTTCCAGATTCATCCATGCCCCTACAAAGGACATGAACTTATCATTTTTTATGGCTGCATGGTATTCCATGGTGTATATGTGCCACATTTTTTTTCCAGTTCTGTGAAGAAGGTCCTTGGTAGCTTGATGGGGATAGCATTGAATGTATAAATTACTTTGGGCATTATGGCTATTTTCAGGATATTGATTCTTCCTAACCATGAGCATGAAATGTTTCTCCATCTGTTTGCATCCTCTTATTTACTTGAGCAATGGTTTGTAGTTCTCCCTGAAGAGGT